TTTAATTCTTGAATTAATTATATGTGATGCATCATCAACTGTGATTTATAATTACTATGTCGCGTAAACTTATTTTTTGCAAGTGAAGCTGTACCGAAAAGAAATTTAACAAATAATCTCAATAGTGCACAAAATATTACAATCACCCAAGTAAATTGATAATTGAAGGTCTTCTCTTGGGATATATAGTTAAAAGAAGCTTAAAAAAACGCTTTGAACAAAAACAAAAAATCGGTTAATGTTTAATTTATTTTTTTTAATTTTTACAGAAAAAAATGTATTTATATTATTTCTGCTACTTCTTATATTTCGGGTTTTATCTCAATATAAATAACTGTTTCCTTCGTAAACTTTATTCCTAATTTAAATCCTAAAGGTCGTTCAGATAACCTGCTATGGAATTAATTATACAAGCACTTGGCTGAAAAGGCTTAAATGGGCCGATCCCTCTTGAATTAACCCAAGATGAATTTAAAATATAATTAATTTTATATAAAAAAACTTAGTTTTATCATATCAAAATAAATGTTTAATTGAAATCAGTAAAATTAATTAAGAAATCCTTTAAGATAAAAATAAATAGACTGTAATTCTGTGTCGAACCTCCGCTTTTCAAGGAGAGTGTGAATAAGTTTTACAGTGAAAACAAATTTGAAAAAATTATATCAGATCCCAAAACTGCGCCCGTATTAAACATTTTCTGGTTACAACCCAGTAGATGTACGTAATATTACCCTAGCCAGAGGTACTCACTATTTTCGACGCATATTAGGCGGTACAACGTAAAAAAATTCCTTATCGACAATAAAAACAAATCGTGACATAGGCGAGAAGTAGTAATAAAATCAAACAGTCTACGCACGTCGCATTCATCGTCGTCTATAGTTTTTGGTCGCCATCACTACTTATGCGCGTGACCCGGTGGGACCTGGCCGAGTCGACTGATGATGTTTCCTCTTCCGGTCGAACTGAGGGTCGTGGCCGAAAGGTCTATCTTCGTGAATCATGTTAAAAGTTCGATATTTTTATTACACTGCTCTGTTTTATATTCACAGAAAAACATTCCGACTGAATAATTGTATTTTTTTGTAATCAAAACAATAATGCATAACACAGTTTAATAGAATTGCTAAATAACGGATTAATTTTCAATTCGTAACATTTAGGAATTTGAAAACATACATATTTTATGAACATCAATGTCAACCTAAAGGCGTAATACCTGTTCTCTTATCGATAAACAGCACATGCACTTACAACAGCCTTATCACAGTTCAAATTAATCCACGTGTGAGTATCTATAGTGTTACACGCATGTACGTACAATAAGATAATCACATCTTTTTTTTTTTTGCGAGGTCATAAAAAATACTAGATAGTTTGGTAGTACAATTTAATAGGCCAGTATTAGTTGCGTGATGATAAATATTTGTTTAAATTATTATCAGCGTCATTAGATTCTAACAAGCTCATCTATATTTTTTTTCAGGAGGAAATAAATTTTATTCAGTGCCATGTACAATATTTGTCATAGGTGAGGGAGCCATAGTCAAAAATTCTTATACTGAACCATTTTAAGCCTTCTTATTTTCAATCATTTTTTATGTAAAATGTTACGGTAAAAGGGAAATCGTGGCCCCTACGCTTCCTTGAATACGCAACTAAATTTATCTATTCATATATACTTAAATTTGTATATATAATAACATGAAATACATATTATATTAACTTTTGAGTTCAGACGACATGTCACAAAGGAGACACAAAAAAATATTTTTAATGCACATATTAATAACTAACGTTCTAAAAAATTCATACGAGTTATCTTGTGCTTTTTGTTTGACAAAACCTAACGCTTCAGCTCTTATTTTACCTACCAACAATGTCTATACAGGGAAAAATCTAATTAGTAAATCTAAAATGAATGACCTGGAAAATTTCCAGTTTTACATCCCTGAAAAACAATCCAAAAATTACCGTTTTACTTGGAAGTGTTACTTTTAATCTTGTATTTATTTGTTTAGAACCGTTTTTATGATTTTAATTAAATAGTTCCTAACTTATTAAGGTTTCAACTATTATTTCTGTTATATATTACTAACACAAATTTTTTCGAGAAATGTTTCACATCATAGCTGAGCTGTTTTATGGAAGTCTGCACATCGTCTTACCACACAAATTATGGATATTTTTTAATGTTAATAACAATGAATTATAGGGCAGTGTGTCTTAAATATTAGCAATCAATGATTTGTATTTTTAGTTTGCTTAAAGCAAACTAGTTCAATCTTAATGAACATTTATACATTTTCTAATAGTATCCTGCGATGTCAAATAATGTCCATATATGGGGGCAACAATAAAGAATAAAAATACACTATTTAAAAAAATTAATATCAACATTTTTCTAAAGATACTAGAACTATTTTTTAATAATCCAACAATGAAAACAAAAGAGCTAAAAAATGTTTTTTTTTTTTTTGAAATTTCAAAAAATTTAAAGATTGTATTTTTTTTTAATGCTTTTAAAAAAAACTGCCCAAGATAAAAATTTATAAGAAGAAATATGTATTTTTTTTTACTTTATTTTAACTTATGCTGTATTTTCCAAGCCCCATCGAAAAATCAAAACAATCGTCATTATTGCACTCTTGGAATAATCTAAATTTTTACAATCAAAAGATGTTTAACAAATAACAAAAAAGTTGTATTATTTCTGTCGATAATACAATCAGAACATTAATTAAAATTTGAAATGCGATTGACAAGTACAGTTATAAAACATATTTATTTGAAATATATAATTTTATATTGATAATAAATCTAAGTTAAATCTAATAGAATTTCATATAAGTAAAAAAAAAAACATAAAATTTAACAAAATTAAAAACTTTAATAAAATTAAAAATTGAATTGGTTCTGAACAATAATATTAACAAATTTGGTGAAATGTTATTAAGAAACTTTAAAAAAATCAGCCTACCCTAGTGGGTAGAAACATATGTTTGGCGCACGGGGTCCCGAGTTCAATGCCCAAGATGCCAAAAAGATTTCTCTTGTTATTTTCTTATTGGTAGTGTCTGGTCTCTGGTGCAAGCCGACTAAAATACCCGTCCCGTCCATCATTGGGTTAGTCAAGAACCATTTTTGACTTTTTAAAATTGTGAAAGATGTATTTCGTAAATTTTTTACTATGCCTGTTCTATTATGAAATTCTGGCTATGCCACTGTAAATAGTGTAGAATACAATAACAATTCTAAAACATTTATTTTAGTAAAAAAAGTTCAGTTTATTTCAATATAGTTGAACATTAATTTATATTTAAGCTAATGTCATATGACATATGTATAACTGATTGAGAAATGAAATATTAACCCACTTAGAACAACGTTAGTACAAGAATATTCCAATGTAAATAACAAATAATAAAGAGTACATTCATATCAAAACGCCTTTTTTATTTTTCATTGATAATAATAAACGGTGATTGGTAATATTATACTAACCCAATGACAATTTCATGAGATTGTGAACTTAATAATAATGCATACTCCCGACTATTGAAGTCACTGAATTTGAAATAATTGATACAAACATGGCCCGATTACGTCATCTTAATTACAAAACATTCAACAGCAACCTGTCCGTTCAATGGCGAATTACATTCCTAGTTAACACCATAACCTATTCATAGATATGGATATTATTTCCAGACTTCCGGAAATCTCTACTTTCATTATTCTATTCATAACCATTGTGTTTTATGAGTCACCGGTCACAAATTCTGTATTTCCAAAATACGATTAAGATGGTTGAAACTTTTAAGGTGTTTCGTTTGAAGCCTAATAGGATATAACACAATCTACTCTAAAATTATGAAAGTTAATGAAATACATAAGTGGATTTCACAGTTAAGATACACAAAAAAATCAAATACTAAGTCTGTATCATTACTGCTCGAAAGCGTTCATTCATAATATTACTTCAAATCTGATAAAAGAACGATTTAAAGTTTTATAAGATAATTCTTTAATTCAGTTGCGTACCTAAGATTTTTCTATTATGATATACACGAAAAACGCCCCACGATTTTTATCAAAGCTAATAGTTGACGCGATAGTTTCTTCTGTTAGGTAGTATGAAATGTATTAATTTTTGTTGACAATTATAGTCTTGTTGACTTTTGGTTTGAGCTATATCGAAAGGTGTTTGTCAACATGACATCATGCTTAACATTTAAATGAAGTTAATTTAATTGTTGTTTACATCAAAGAAGAGCAATAAACTGTTGATCTAACATAATATTGAAACGGTAATAAATTCTTATTTTCATGATAACAAAAATAAAATAAAGGAAATAAATATTTTTAATGTACAACAACTAATTCACGACCAAAGATTAATTTATTTGACAAACAGACAAGAATATACTTTGATCTGTTCTATTTTTAAATCTTAACTCTCAATCCATACATATGAACAATGCGCATGCATGTTTATTTAAATCACGTGTTTCATCAAAAGATAATAAAATCATTTTAAATGTGTATTCAGTAAAATATAAAAAACAGAACTTTGTCAGTTTTTTATTTTCAAATACATTTAGCTCGTTACATTTTTAACGAGAATTTTTATCGTTTAGTCAACAAAACAGTCACAACATTGTCAATGTCTGGACCGTTTAATTAATCGTTCTGTTCGCGCACGTTTTCGAAAAGTGACAAAAAAAAAAAAAAGACACGGTAGTGCGGTGTAACACGCTACCACAGGCATCGTTCAAAACTGAAAATGACGGTTAATTAAAATATAAAAAATGCAAACATACGTTAAAATGTATCGAGTAAAAGACAACTGCGTCGAGTCGAAAATCGACGGTCAATTTTGGCGCACTAGCGCGGCGCGCGGCGCACGAAAGACGACGGGTAAGTAAAAAATAATAATAAATAAATAAAAAACAGCAACACGCATAGGTGCCGCCGGTTATCCTCTTTGGCCGCCGCCGTTGCCGCAGTCCTGCGCACACACTGCCGGCTCGGTGGAAACCGATTCAGTACGCCATAACCCGTCCGGCCGTTCTCGTGGTCCGCGCGCTCGCCGCACACACTGCTCGTCACACACGTCACACGTACCTCGAGGAAAAGTTATTGAGTTTTCTTGCGGAAATATTGTCGTGTGTTTTTTGGTGCTGACCGATAAGACACTTGTGTTGTTCTGTTCGCCGGTCGGTTATCACTCGAATTGCACCTTTGAGTTCGCCAACAAACTTATTATCCTTCGGGACTGCATTTTGACGTTATAATATTTTTTCGGATGACATGTTGACATGATCGCGCACTCAGCTGGCTGCCTACACCTGTCGTCTGTTTTAGTATGTCTTCTTCGTCTGGTATCGCCGAACCGGACACAATGATTCAGGATAGTGTTGCCGTGGCGTCTTACGCTCCGTCCAGCTTCTCGTAAGTACCTATTTCGGGTAATTCCAATAGCCCTTAGGTCCGAGTAGTCGATAATCGATTGGTGATATCCGACTGCTGACTCGTGCCGTAGGTTTTCCTAACCGTTCGCCCACTGCCGACATGAAATTATTAAAAAAAAGTCAAATCCAAAAACTGTACAACGCACAGTGTTTACGATACATAATTATTTTGGACTCGTTGAGAATCTCTGCTATCTTTACCGACATAGACGTGCGTTACACTTGACACTGGTCAGTAAACGGTAAAACGTTTGCTTTGCAGGTAAATTCTGACTTAATCGACACAAAACGTTATCCAAAAATACATTTTTTATTTCACTCGAGATAGGATTTCGCTGACTCGTCGTGTATGAGAATATAATTATCTTTCAATAGTCAAAAGTAAAAAAATTAACGTTCGTTTTTATTCCACTGACAAATAGAAAACAACTTGGGTTAGAATATTGATTTTAATTTTTCGGTGCTAAAATTCATTTTGAACTCGGACGTTAGCTTAATGAAAAAAAAAAAAAAAAAATGCCTCTAACATCTATATGGTTTATAACGTCACACCAAGGACGAACTCGTACCAGAACTAATTGACCTCACATGAAACTTTTTATTTTGCAATACGTTAAAAGTGTGGTTTTTTCCTCCGACATAAAATATTCCTATACGGGAAACGACTGTGACGTTTTTTTTCTTACTTTTATTGTTGCCGTAAAGATAATATTATTCGGAATAATAAAATAAGCAGTCGGCCAATAGTCACATGGCACAACATCCATTGGCACGTACTAATTTAATCGAAAACCCGTAAAAACCGCGTAGGTACTACGGTACTCGAATAGTCTTTTTCCGAGTGGATAATCTTTGAAGAAAAAAAAACAATAAAAAAATCTTCGATGGACCCAGACCGTCATTTCTCGACAGATTATTAGAAAAATTAAAAACACATTATTGTGGAGTTATTATCGCATAATTGTTTGTACAGGTTCCTGATGGACAGATGCACAATGGTTTGTGTCATATTTATAATAGCTATTACTTTTCTATTTGATAATCGAATGATACGAATCTATTCACATTTCAATGATGGGTACGAAGTATAACCATAATATATTAAAAAACTGTTTATGTCTAAAAAGCTTTAAAACGATGAAAACAATATTCGGTGTCGCTGTCGTCGTTGTTTGCGAGTTCGCTTATGTGCAAAACACAATGACTGTCTCAATACACCACGTCTGGACGTTTTTGATACTTTTGTTTTTTAAAAATCCATACCGACATACGATTTTTACAGACATTGTGTGTGTGTCGATTGTCTATTACGATTATTAGTCGGTATTATCTAATAATAATAACTAGTAAAATTCAACATTAACAAAGACGGCGACTACAAGAGTATTGTTCTGACTCTTGAACTCTATTAATCACAAAAAAAAAAAAGATAACTATCTAGTAATTAGGACGCTAATACACACACGTAGGCATACGGCCGTTAGTATGCAAGCCTTTTGTACCCTTTCACTGCCATCGTTTCGACTTCGGGTGTTATCTTAACATCGCGGTACGTCATTTGAGAGTTTAAGTCATTAAAAAAATTCGTTTTATTTGAATGTTTTTTAGAAAAATAAAAATAATTAAACGAGTAAAAACCAAATGAACGCACCCGTGGGGGTAATTTATCGGTCTGCTTCATTTAAGTGCATCGCTAATGGTATTTATTTTTAAGTAATTAAGATGTACATATTTAATTCCGAGCCGCAAAGACAATACGGTTTCCCAGGAAATTTATATAGAACACGTCGTTGAAAATGTACATGTTATTATTAAATTACTAGAACATTTCAGTGTTGATCATTGGAATGCAAGACAAGAGTAAAAACACTGATATTAACACGGGGCACACTACGACAAATTTTTGTTTCATTAAACACTTACCTGACGGTTCGTCAAAAAACACATATCATAGCGCTCGATTTTAATAATTTTTATGTAAAACGTCTTTAATTTACCAATAGAATAATTGAATTAAATTTATCTATAACAATAACATAAACGAGTGTATTGAAAATGTAATCATTTATTCCTTTAAAAGGTTAATCGTTTTACAATTGAAGCATAGGTGAATTCAAATTTATGCATAAAACCTGTAAAGGTTCTGATCTTAATCCCAAACGACATGTTTGAAAGTTTTTTTTTTTTTTATAACGATAGGTAAATAGTTGATCGACATATTTTTAAATTAATGTTCGAATTCATTTGTCGGCTATTACGAGTGGCGAGTCTTAGATATTGGCGCACATTCATCGAACGGATACGGTTGTTTTTTACACGTGTAAGAACACGACATATTGAACCGAAAATCGTCGTGTAATGATTACTATCGATCATTAATATTTAAGTTGTGTAAACGCATAAGGTAATTTCGCATTTCTTTCACGGACACGGAGTGCACATTTCCACGCATTTAATGTTCGTTTTATGACACTTTTTTAACGTCATCGCCGACTTTTAGCCCGACAGGAACGACTCATAATATCCACTACTTTCACAATATCGCGCAAAAACTAAACAAACGTCCGAAATCGAATCATAGCGTGTAAAACTTTAGAATTTTCAAATAAAAACGAGTTTTTTAACGAACCATCCACTTGATGCAACGATTTTTTGTCGCAACACACCCGATGTGATTGTTTTGCGATATCGGATGAGCTAGTGTGACACTCGATTCGGCTGTAGTCTGTTATGCACCGTCAAGCGTACATAGAAATCCAGAAAGAAAAGTCTCGGAGAAATGTAAAAAAAATAAAATATCAGTTTATCTAGTCTCTTCTGATTTAACGTCGATTACAAATCTTAACACAACTATGTGCATTTTTTTTTACGAGTATTACCGATCCTATTAAATGGTTCATTAAATGGAAATTCCTCGTTTTTTTATCGTTTCAATATATTCATATTTATGTATTTTAATATGCTTGTGTCTGTCGTTAGTTCGAACATCCTACTCATTTGATTAATACATTTTAGGTACTGTTTCACTCATTGCCTTGTTTCATCATAAAATCCATCTAATTAGGGCATTTTCTAAAATATACAAACAGTTATCTCTTTATTAATAAATTCGTAGCGTGTTGATATTCCATTTAATTAACTAATTATATTACATGTGTATCATGTAGACAAACGTTAAGTGATTATTCGGTAGAAATACATATCAACGAGCTCATTTTCAATAGTTAGATTACGTATGTACTTGAAATAGTTAATTCGATTTTTAGATTTACAGTTGAATTGGCCAGGCCGAGAAAAAAACATTTATTTTCAAAAGGTCAAAAACTCCGAGTACCGAAATTCTTATTATCTAGAAGAACGCGTGGATGTCAACAGGTATTGATTACGTGAAAAGTTTAAGTGTTTAAATATGATATCAAAAATCCGATAAATCCGGTTGTTTGATTTTATATAAACTCTGTACAATAATTCAAATAGTTTTATCTTTCGAAAGTGTTAAGTTTTAAATCGTATTGGATGGCAAAACAAAAAAATATTCCAAATTATTTTCAAATTGTATTCGTAATGCCGTACGAATTTGAATATTTTCTGTCGCCATTACTTCTGCTGATTATTGTTTGAATGACCTCATTGCAATAGTAATACTGTTACGAGTACATTTTTTAGCCCAATTATCGGTGGGAATATTTCTCAACATATTTTCTCGAGTGGCGTTTTATTTGCATTATTTTAATTGAAAAGTATTTGCATACGATTATTTTTTCTTAATAGTCAATAATTTTGGTTTTCTCACACGTACCACCAATGTAAATTTGCCGTGATAATAGTGCATGTTTGTATTTCAAGAGTGCACTACTTGTGACAAGGTTTCCAATGGTTATCTGGTGGTTATCGGCAAAAAAATAAAGTTCTTAAATGGATTCTTTTCGAGCGCATGGTTAAGAAGGTCGTGTAGTATCTGTTATTGCGAATTTGAAAACTAGTAAAAAAAACAATAATGAAATAGACGACCGCAGGGCAATAACGATGTCGTCTAGGACACGGTCACATCGTAATATATTTGTGTTTTTTGTTAACATTTTGCTGGTGTGCACATATACAGACACACGTTGACGATGCCCAGCTCGGTGTGTGTGCGACAGGCACCGGCACAAGCAACAGGTATATCGTACACATAGTAGTAGTATATGACTTGCACACTGGCGATGCAGCGGCGGACGTGTGTCCTCCAGTGGTCATCGCACCAACACACACGGTGTTTAACCATGCAGAACCATTACGCGCGTACCGTAAAAATGATCCACCCCCCCCCAACTCTTGTACGGGACTCTCTATGATGTTACTTTGGCGGCGATACTCGGGCTAGACTTACAAAGCGCCCACATGGTATTTTTCGAAAATTGTTGCAAGTCGAAACCCGACCGAGGAAACTCGAGTGGTACGAAAAAAAATAATGTTAATTTCGTTTTACCTGTTGCGCTGCTGTTATAATTTCATGTAATTTTTTAAACATCTGTTCATAACGTCTCTACTAAAGCAATTAGTAAAAATTGTAATTTAAAACGAATCGTGTAACGGTTGAAAAAAGTAATTGCGCTTAAAATCCATCTCACAAATGTAAAACTTTGCTTTGGTATTTCAATTGTGTGTGTAAAATTTTAATAGTTTACTCGTGTTCATTTATTTATACACCATCTAGATACTTTTTGATTAAAACATCAAAATGCATTTACTTCTTATTAAATACTCATTTNACCATCTAGATACTTTTTGATTAAAACATCAAAATGCATTTACTTCTTATTAAATACTTAATTCTTATTAAATTATTTAGTTCAATATATAAACGTTATCGAAATACACTTACTATACTAAAATTGCGAACTAATTACTTTCGTTGATAAAGATTAAAATTACTTTTTCACTTTAGAAACTAACAATTATTCGAAAAAGGGCAGTCACAAAAATTACTAAATTGTTTACTTAACAAAAATGTATGCAAATTTTTATAACGATATCGAAGTAAACGGCGATTAAAAATACAATAACTTACTATAACAGTCGTTGCGTAAAAAACAATAGTTATGTAATTATAAAATGGCGGTTTTAAAGCTAGAAATTCATTTTTTTTTTATTGTTATTTAACATTTTAATTTCGTATTTTGGCCTTTAGTTAATTTGATTTGTTATTATCTGAAGAGCCGTGATAAATAATGAACTGCTACATTCGTTATTTACCTGCGCATATGTCTGTTTTCACTTTGGATGATTGACGTGAGCAGAAGATAATGATATTGTTCGATAAGAAAAAACGAAATTGTTTCGATAGTAATTAATATGTTGTTATTATTATTTTACATGTATACTTTAAGGACGTCGTTAGATAAATTTTCATAAAATTCTTTGTAATATTATGATTTATTACATTATTATCAACGTTGCACCGATTATGTGACCAATCGTAAACGGATCAAAGTCTAAACATTACTGTTTACCGCGCACGTTACTTGAATAGAAAATGCGTTCAGGGTGTTGAGTTACATTTGCCCTACTTGAAATTATCTGTTGTTTTTTTTTTTACGAGTGTACGCGCCAATGGAAACGCAGAGCTCTTGTTTTCGCCGGTCGGCCAAAAAACTCGTCGCAATGACGAGTGTAATTTAATAATTATGTTTTCGTTGGGCCCATCGCGTTTAATTAATCATACTCTTTGATAAATCAGGGTGCTTCCTACCACATACACCTGACACTCGAGGGCGGAGCGAACCGTCCGAGAAAAAGCAACGGCCCGTAAACACAATGCTTGCTTGGTTCATCGTCGAGTAATGCTCTAACGACGCGGTATTAATTGCCGTCGGATTTTTTTTCTAATTACCATGTCCATATTTTTGCGCATTGTCGGCGTGTCGTCATTAGACATGTATGTACAGAACCCGGCCGCCGTATAATCGGCGTAACGCGCGCGTGTAATAGATAACAATAGGCGCACCGGATAAACACAATAAAAACGGTGGTCCGATAAATAATAACTGAAATTTAGGCGGTGGTGTTTAATTAGCGCTCACTCGTATCTCAACGTGATGTCAATCACTCATCGGAAGCAACTTTCAATACTATTGCCATGCGTTGTATTAATAACCGCTGCGGCAAAGTGCGTTTGCAGATAACCGTAAAGACAACGTGCAACACATCCAACGTGAATTCTATTAGGTGTCTTCCAGTCCGAACGAAGTATTACACCCGACCAAGTTATTGACAAGCTAAACGCTGTCGTTTTCTAGTTGGTACTATTGTGCGTTGAGTAAATAACATGATTTGTTGTTGTTTTGCGTTTGTAAGCAAGTGGTCAAATCATACTATTAAAACTGGTAAAATCGCACTTGTTTTTTTCTTCTATCCGAGTAAAAATGTCATTTTAAAGATACGACTGGCTGTTGAAAAACACATTAAACCTATTCTACACGTTCGTATTTTTCCGTATGTTAGTTAAATAACTAAATGTAAATGTTTTTCGCTTCTTGCGACCCATTAAGAGACATTAAAGCCTTCCCGTAGAGCAATATTCTTAGACGAGATGTTATTCAATGGCCGCCCAGGATGGCGATTCCAATTGCTAAGCCGATGTGGTGTCTTTCAGCAAACGGAGACTGAGTCTCGAACCCAAGACACATGCGCATCAGACACTGCCGCGTTACCGACTCGTTCCTCTACATAACGTATTTGCATTTTTTAAAATGGTCCGATACACTGAAAATCCGATCGATGCGGATGTAAAGAAAAATCCTTCGATTTAGATCAATTTATATGAATTGAATTTGTCGCCTCTTCGCGATTCCAATTATACAACCGACTGAATCCCCACTGTCAAACGACTCCATAGACAACGAGACAATTATTACGTACCGGTCAACACGTTACCCTGATTTTCTCATACACTTGAACAAATCGTAAAACACAGACGGCAAAATCTTACAAGTTCTTATCGTATAAGTTCTAGCCCGCAATGTAGAGTTTTAAAAAACTAATAAAAAAATGATTTTCGTCATCATTTTACGGTGTAGTGTTTCAACGATTTCCAGGAGACCAAAACGGAAAGAGCAACTATATTATTTTGCAGTCGAATAAGAGACAGGTGCTCTGTACCTTCCTTGTTCGAAAATCCATTTTAAGAATGACATTAATATTAAACGCGCACCGTAATATATTATTTTTTATGCAGATAAGGTTGGACGTGTTTGTGTAATGTGCTGTGTAAGCGAAACAAGTTTATCGCTAAAATAATAATTACGATAAGTCACTGGTAACTTTTTTTGTTGTTGTTTCGAGGATTGAATGTCATACGTGACCCGTCGTCGGAAGCGTCGCCTACCGATAAGAAAAAAATACCGTTTAAAAAAACCTCGCCACTCTATTTCGCGACTTTTTTTGTTTAAATTATTCTTTTTTTCCATATACTCTCCATTAGCGATAACAATGACACGGTCACTGGCAATATGATATCTATACAGTGTCTGATAAAGTAGAAATAATCGAAGAAAATTCGGTCTTGTTTTTACTTTTTTTTGCAAATGTGTTTTTTAGGGAAACGGGGACGTACTCATGCGTCGTTTTTCATTGGCCATTTGTTAAACACCATAGTCATAGTTCTTCTATTGGCCAAACGTATTAAACGTAAACAATAATAAACGTATAAATACTGTACGTAAACAAAAAATAGTACAGCGAATGAAAGAAAAAAACATTATATTGGTTAAATATTGTCAATACCGATATGTGAAATAGAAACCATCTTGGACAAAGAAAAAACAAACGTAATCGCGTTATTTCTTTAATTTTTCAAAATGCACATGCAAGTAAAACAAACAGATGCTTCTATTGATAACTGTTATCGGTTATTGCTCCGATGAAAAACTAATAAAAAATAAATATTTTATAGGCAATTGTTCGGTACACCGAAGTGTTATTATTTTGCATCGTATCCGTACGATAATTTCGTTGGCGTATTAGTAGCATTTTGTCGGTAGTCTCGAATATTCGCCTAATTGAGTACATAATTACATGTACAATTCATTCTCGATTGTAACGCGAAAAAAATTTAATTACGTATAATAATGAGATTTCTCACTTACAACATTTTTTCCCAGTAACTGAATTCAAAACGCCGAAGATTGTTCTCTCGACGAAGGCGTCAAAATGTCTACTGCGCACGGTAAGTGCACGTGACATAAACTGGCTCATATTATAAACACTCCGTATCGTATTACTGTCCTTTATGTCATAACTGACACTATTGTTATTGTTATTTATTTATTTTCAAGTAAATATTCGTTTTTATTTAACCCCGATTGTATTTAGTTTTAATAAAATGGCTTCGAAGTATGTAAACATTGTAATCAAATTCAATGTTTATTTGTTTACTCTTTTTGAAAACCATTTTGACGAATGCTGTATTTTTAGAAATACGAGAAAGATGATATTTATCAAGGAGAGACAAACCCATTCAATTACTTTTCGTGACTCAGTTATAATTATTCTGTTCATTTTTAAAGAGTCGAGAAAATTGAATAATATACTTTTTATAGAACCGTATGTAGTGTATATAAATTGGTAACACAATAGTTTATAATACTAATAAAGCAGCTAAAATACAAACTCGAGAACATTATATATAGAACAGTTACGTATTAACACGTTGAATACGTACCTACGGGTGTATTTATGCAATTTTAATGAGACGACAATAATTACACGGTGACCAGTGTGTATTAGAAGAAATAAACAATATGAATGAAACAATTTGACACGATTTTTGAAACAATAGCATTACAAAATATATATTGAATTTTTATTTAAACCCGATAAGGAAAAATCGATTGCTATAGAAATATTATTTCCAAGTATCGCTTCTTTTTATTAACCGACGGATTATATTTTTATTTCGGAAAACCAACGGATCAAATTAAGGCGTCCAAATATTTCAATCGGTTTCTCGATTAATTTTTCATTATTTTAATTGTGTGAACCATAAAATAAGTTGTACCCACTACACATTATATGAATTGCTTTTAATCATGATCAAGATTAATTATTTTTCTTTGGCGAAATAATTAGTTGCCAGTAATAACGTGTAAACGTATTATGCAATCATAATAACCGAGTCGTAAAAAATTAACGTTGAATATTCATGTTAATGTATTCGTCTTGTGATAAAATAATTTATCGTACGATGTTTTTTTAATTAAACTTTGTGATTTTATTATCATATGGATCAACAGCGTTTTTATTTAGTTAAAATTTACAACCAAAAGGTTGGTCTAATTTATTAATTTTTTCTAACTGATCATGCGTGTGTTGTTTTAGGTTGAACGAGGATTTCAAATTAACTAATCACAGCAGCGGCGGCGGTATAGATTCGCCACACCATCAGGTTCTCTACAGCAGTCTGAGCAGTTCGCCGTCATCCGGTTCGCCGTGCACCGTGTACGCCTACCAACCCTACCGGAATTACGGTGCCAGCCAGTTTCACCAAACGGCCACCGAAATTCAGCAACAACAAATCCCCGTGACGCAAATGGTGGTACCTTCGCCGGCATCGCTGTCACTCGCGGGCGTCGCCCAAAAGTCTGCCGAAGATCCGTCGTGTTGGCTGCAGCACAACGGCACCGGTCCGTTCGACCACTCTTCTCACCTACAACCGTCCCACCAACACCACCTTCAGCCTTACGGCCACCAGCAACACGGCCACCATCAGCAACAGCGACACGATTTGCCGACCAACGCGAAAATGACTCAGCAGCAACAAAAGGCCGTTAAAGAGCAGCGCATCCGAAGACCGATGAACGCCTTTATGGTGTGGGCCAAGGTGGAGCGAAAAAAGCTGGCCGACGAAAATCCGGACTTGCACAATGCAGATTTGAGCAAAATGCTCGGTAAGTACCGGCCCATAAAAAAACGTTAATAACAAAAGGCAATAAATCGACCGTTGGAAACGTTCGTAATTATTGTTCACACTCGGTGAGCTGTTATGCACTTTTTATCAAATGTTCTATACGATCTAATAACAGTCGAAAGTCCGCGCTCGTTCTACCCGCCCGTGTATTTCATTTCCGGAGTTACATAAAACGGCAGCGCATTACCGATGAGTCGAACGCATTTGATTTATTCCACGTAAGCCAATCGTAAAAATAAGTTTTCAGAAATATCATTTACACGTGAGTTCTCGGAACTGACTTCGAGACGTTTCGAATTATCAATGTTACCACATAATAGGCCGAACGTTTCCCTTTTGTTTCAATGCCCGACGAGCGCCCGCGTGTTATTCATTCAGGACGCTTGCAGTTCTGGTTAAACAGAAACGAATAAATTAAACGTTGATCCGGTGGAAACGGTTGGGAAGCCGCTCGAGCACACCATTAAATGTCCCTAAACGTTTAATGGCGGCACCCGAAAAAATCTTATTGATATTAACTTGTTTGTCGTCTGATAGCAATCAAATAGTAGTGTTTTATGAAATATAATTATATCGACAGTATTGCTCGGCCGGTGATAGCCTCTCAACTGTTACTATTGTGGTTTTAACGAGCTGTCCGCGCAATAAATTATTACTATGCGCACAAAACTATCGGCCGGTTAATAATAATTATATGAAAACTTGTACAGATCATTATCGCGTTGTACAAACGGAAAAAAACTTGTACTCGGTTAAAAAAAAAACAAAATTCGTCGAATTGGCTCCCACGAGACAACGCCGTTGTGCTAGTCACGTTATCAGTCCATCAATATCATCGATTGGCGCATCTGTATGAGCACATTTTTTTGTAGCCGATGAGTTCTCCTCCGGCTTTTCATTTCGACCCGTCACTGCGCCAGCGTTTACACTGTCGGCTAAAGAGTTGCACGTAAAAAAACAGAAAATTATTTATCAAGTATTATTGTCTTTGTATGGCAATTGTTTTTAATCGAATGTGTTACAATACCTACCGCATTATGCTCTTGTATTGTACGGTACGTAAATTTCTACCCAGTTAATCTAGTGTTATATATATATACACACATATTTTTTATATAAATGTCGCTCGAGCCAAAACCCGCCGTGGCCATATTAGGGACATCAACCCATAACGGCATTGCCTCGGCGGCGTATCGGTTGGTGTACGAAACAAAACGCCCCTGTTTGTATTTAAATTAACCGTGTGTCCCTTTCTCTCCGCTCTTTTTATACTCTTCTGTGTGCGTATAAAAAATTCTCCACTCGCGTGAACAGATAATATTTTTGCGGTGACAATTAAACGCACCGAGGAAATTTGCGGTGTTGCGTTCGGCAAAACCGGTCGGACTTCTTTGAAAATTCGATACATCACCACCGCAGTTTTAGGTATCAATAAAAAATTAATCAACCGCAAGTTCGAAAACGAGACGGTGGTCGTCTTGATCGAGTAGATTACATCTTCCGTCTTCTATGCACCGTTAAATGTTTGAAGAAAAAAAAAATTCGGTATTTTTTACGGAAAGCTTCGAGCGTAACTCGAAAAACAAAAACGCGATACACATTAGATTTAAAAATGATTCGATTTTGTCGACTTGTTTATGTACGACCGGCTTTTGGTTTTCCGTTCACCTTCAAAAAATGTAAATTTACCAACCAAAAGTGTTTTAAACCTTGTTGGCATTGTGTTCTCTTCGTAATAACTCTCACGTTACGTGATAAGTATAATTTTAGTCAGAAAATATTTATTTTTAATGTACTTGATGTTTTTACATTTTTTATTTCATCGATTTGATTTGAATTTCATCATTGTAACGCGCAAAACGATTGTAAATTGTATGAAAAATAAAGAAATTACACTTAATGCATTTTAATAGTGTGAATTCACGTAATTAGTATTATTTACCACATGTGAATAAGGTTACATAGATTTATTTTTCGAAACCGTGTAGAGTTTATGGGTAAACGCGTTACTTCAAAAAACCGTCGTCAAAGAATAATGTTTAAAAAATACATTAACGAGTGTTGGAAACTTATGGTGCTGTAAAAGTGTTAACAATCGCGGTATAATACCAAGTTATTATTCCCACTCGTCTTAATATTTTGATACTATCCGTGAAAACGTTCAGTAGGGCATGTTCGAAATGGTAATCTAAAACGGATGATTAATCATTTAGTGCGTGCGGCTTATATCCGAACGCGTGTAATAATTCAAAGTCGACTGGCGATTGTCGAAAACAAAATTAATTTAAATCCGGCGTAGGTGTTGTGTTGACAGTTTCGGACGGGCTCGTTATATCCAAATTCATAACTCGCCCGTATCGAAGAATAACATAACCGCGCGTGTTAAAAAATTCCCTTTGGCAGTGCAATTCAGCCAATTGGTCGGAACGTTTTTCAGCTACCGTCGACACGCGTCACGTGTCTAATTCTGAAGAAACTACTACTTTTTAATTTTAACGCTAATTGCACTACTATTGTAGGTCAAACACTGCTGACAGATAACTGTCGTCCGGTAAAACACACACTTAAACTGAAATTCAATTTGGTTCGTACTTAAATGAACTGTACGGCGAACAGCATCGTCCAGAGTAAACATAAAAAAACGTACAACCGAGATTTGCAGTGGTGGAATTCCGTAGGAACCTTAAAAAATTACACTGTCCTCGCGCAGAACGTTTAAAGAACCTCTGGCCGACTATCACTGGTGTGTTATTATACCGACGGTGCAGTTAAAAGTGTAATATTATTACGAGTGTCCGTACAATTGTATGCGCGTGTGGAGCAGAGAGGCGTTGGTCGATGTACACGGTGAGCGCTCACGCCGTACCGGCTAGCAGACCGACACTAGAGTGCATAGGTCACCTCGACTCGTTATGTTTTATGGCTCCGGTTACATTTTGTGTTTCGTTTTATCTTTTTTTGCAACGTTAACCGCACAACTGTACTCGCCAACGGAGCTATTACGTTTAAAACATCTTTACGTTACTTTTCAACCCTAATTTTATTTTTTAATGTTCGCGCTTCTTATTTCACGCGACCACTGCCAAACGTAGCCGCCTTAACCCCCCGCCGAGAATCTCAAAAAACCCGTAGTTGCTGTTGCCAGGTATACCCGGTGACAACAACAACAACACAAAACCACCTTCCGGCATGTTTTCCTTGTGTTTTATAGTCAAATCGCCGTATCTCTTCGTTGCCTTATTTAAGTCAGTAAAACCTCGTAAAACCCTACAAATGTATAAAAAGCAAAAACTAATTTATTCGTTCGAAGAATTATTACTATCCTACGTCGCGTCATAATCTTCTAATATTCACCAGCTTAATTTTCAATTGTAATTATTCCAAAATTCTTAGTCGATCGTTTCCGTGTATATTTGTGCGAGTCATTTTTTTACATTCAATTCTACTTGACACATATAAAACGCCAACAGTGTTGTGTCTAACTATTTGTTTCGCGTAAACGTTCACTTTCAAACTACAACAGAGCGATCAACAGACACGGCATTGGTCTATTTCCTCTTGCACATTTGTTGCGACCAGAATAGATTGGACATTCGACTTGTGTCAATAAAGTAATCGGTTCTACAGTGTTCAGAGACACGTAAGACTTAGAAAATGAATTGAAACGTACGGCGATAAGTACACACGAGGTCATGCAGACGACACCACACAGTTTCGTAACCGGCAATCATTGTCACCATTGTTACGCATACAAAATCAAGTTTAAAGCACTTAGGACCGGCTGATCAGAATGGACATAGTAAATTTAAAAAAACCCACGAAAAAATCATTCGGACATACAGAATACCGTTGACAACAGCGGCGCCTTTTCGTTAAATGTAGATGAGATGCTCGTTGACTACCGTACTGCGCACAAGAATGAAATTTGTGTGCTTCTGGCGTTATTGTACGCGAGCGTTTACTAATAATCTATTAGTAAGTCCGGTGTATCTGTAATAACTTAGATTTACCGGTGACGATAATGTGTATAAAGAAAACCGCTATTGTCAGGAGCCTGCGGTAATTTATGATTTTAAAATAGAACCCATGTAAGAGAAAAAAAGAAAGAACTGCTGCCGTCGTTGCCACTGTGGTATATAGTGCACACACACACACACGATTTCTTATGAGCTATACGTTTATGTAAAAAAACAAAACCAGAATATAATTTATAAAAATAACATAACGTCGCCGCCGCCGCCGCATAACACGACAATACCGTTGACAGAGATCGCCTCAGGTTGTGTATACTCTGATTTGGCGGCATAAGAACTACTGTTTTCTCTTCCATGTTTACCCCCAACAATATTATCAATAAGTATATTTGTAATTTAAATTAGCATTAGTACCGCTGGTTTGTGTGTAGTAAAAGAGAATAGTGTTCTCTTTTTATTTTCCAATGTATGTTATGCATTGTATTATATTGTATGTGTACAAAACCCAGTCTATATACACGTTCACAAACATATCACAACATGTGAGTTAACTTCTTAGACGTAGCAACGCGGAATAAAAATGTCATTTACCTATCACAGTCAACGACCATTTGTTACTTACCGATTGTATACATTGTTTTTTTTTCATTCTGCAGTCTGTTTTTACTTTTTTCTTTTCTTCAATTAATCATAATATTGAAAGGTACTTACACGTATATGCTGCGGATTCTATTGTACAATTTACTATCTCAATCAACGTACGTTGTATCTATTTGCAGAGACATATTCACTACAACACTATAAAGCCAAAAAGTATATGATTAGGCTTCATTGAATATGTTAAATTGATAAAATAAATTATCTTAGAATATCAGTCGAAGTGTTTATAAAATAGTTACGAACATTTAATTACTCAAAGTGCGTAGGTAGTAATAAAACTTGTAAACAATAATACAATTATATGAAAAATCTCTTATAAGTCATGAAGTTCATACAGAAACACTAA